GTCCTGTACAAAGAAAACTACAGAACATTTCTGCAAGACATGTAAAAACACCTAAATAAATGGGAAAATGTGCCCTGTTCATAGATAGGAAAAGTCAATATTGTGAAAATGATAATCCTACCAAAAGCAATCTACATGCTCAATGCTATCCCAATATAGACACCATACTCATTTTTCAAGAACATTGAAAGGGAAATTATCGAATTTATTTAGAGAAGAAAGACCTTGAATAACAAAACACTTCTAAAACACAAAAATAAAGTAAAAGCAATAGCACTCCCTAACCTCAAAATCTACTACACAGCAGTAGTAATCAAAACATGGTACTTGTAAAAGACAGGCACATAGACCAATGAAACAGAATTAACAACCCAGAAATGGACCCAACTATCTATGGTCAACTGATATTTGACAAGGAAATAAAACCTATTAAATGTGGAAATGACAATCTATTTAACAAAGGGTGCTGACAAACTGGATTTCCACCTGCAGAAAGCTGACACAGGATCCATATCTCACATCATATACAAAAAACAATTCAAGGTGGATCACAGACCTAGGACTAAAGCCCCAAACCATAAAATTCATAAGAGACAAACAGGGACCAAGTCTAGAAGGCTTAACCTATAGTATAAAGAGACTGTCAAATATAGCCAGAAATGCACAGTCTGGAGAGGGTAAAATTGATGAATGGGACTTTCTAAAGATTAAATCTCTGTGCACATCAAAACCTTTTTCCATCAAAAACGTTTTGAAAAGAAAGCCTACCAACTAAGAACAAATATGTGGCAATAACATCTCAGACAAAGGTATTGTAACAAAAGTTTGCAGAATACTCCTGGGCTTCTGGAAGAAAAAGACTGACAAGCAAATTAAAAAATAGTCAAGAGATATGGAAAGGCTTTTAACAGAGAAAGACATTCAGGTGGCCAACAGACATACGAAGAAATGCTCAAAATCACTGACAATAAGAGAGATGCAAATTAAAACTACAATGAGATACCGTCTCATTCCTGTAGCAGTTTCAAGTTTAGTAGGACAGCAAGCAATAACTGTTGGAGAGGATGTGGAGAGGTAGAAACTCTCATACTTTGTTGGTACATTTTACATTGTTGTAAAACGGTGCAACCACTTTGGAAGACAGTTTGGTGTTTCCTCAAAAAGCTGAATATAGAAACTCCATATGACCCACCTATTCCACTACTGGGAATATATTGTTTTTGTGATGTGCCGTCGAGTCACTTGCGACTCATAGTGACCCTATGTACAACAGCTCTAAACTCTGCTCTATCCTGTGCCAATCTCATTGTCTCTGACACACACATCCTGATTGCCCCAGTCACCGAGTCAATCCACCTTCCAGACGGCCTTTGCCTCCTGCGCCTGCCCTCCACCCTCCCAAGCATGATGTCCTTCTCCAAGGACCAGTCTCTCCTTACAACATGACCAAAGTATGTCAGACGAAGCCTCAGAATCCTTGCCTCCAAGGAGCAGCCGGTTTAACCCTTTCCAGAATGAATCTGTTTGTTTTCCTAGCAGTCCATGGTACTCTCAATACTCTTCTCCAGCACCACAGCTCAAAGGCATCAATTCTCCTTCTATCATCCTTGGTCGTTGTCCAACTCTCTGATGCATAACAAGTAATTGCATAACAAGTAATTGGCCTGTATACTCTAAGGAAATTAGAACTGAGACACAAACAGAGATTTGTACATCAATGTTCATAGCAACATTATTCACCATTGCAAAAACATGGAAACAGCCCAAATGTTCAATCACAACTGAACGCATTGAGATATTGTGGCACATTCACAGAATGGAATACTATGCAGCACTCAGGAGCAACAATTTCAGAAAATACTCTGTAACTTGGGAGAGGCTGTAGAGCATTATTCTGAGTCAACTAACAGTCTGATAAGGATAAATACTGCCCAAGACCTTTGTAAAAATAGAATGGTAACAATTAAAACATGTATGGGAACTCAAGAAATGGAGGGGAGGGTTCAGAGGGGTGAGGATAGGAAACCAGATGATTTCACAGTTTGGTGAATGGAGGGAAGGGGGTGAAAGTAAACAGGAAGGATCTGGGTGAAAAGACAAGGATGATGGACAAGGTTCAATGGTGATTAGTTTTATAAAATTTAATGCTTGAGAATGGCTGTATGAAACACAATGTGAATGAAGAATAGTGTAAAACACAATGTTTATGACCTTTATAAGCAAACCATTTAAAAAAACAAACCTCTATGAGTAGATATAGTGAAAAATACTGATATTCAACAAATGAAAGTTAATCTTTTATGTAATTAAAAATAATTTTCCTCCTTCTAGCCTACAGATAGGGAACTCTGCTGGCCTAACGGATAAGGAGTTGTGCTGCCAACACAGAGGCACTCAGTTTGAATCCACCCACTGCTCTAGGGGAAAAGGAGAGACAATCCCCTTCCATGTGATTTACAGCTTCTGAAAAACTCTGAAGACTCAGCTATGAGTCTGTTCCAATTCAATGGCACATAACACCACCAGCCTCCAAAAGCATTTGTAGTCTTGATTTATCAAGAGAAACCCAAAATTATGTATGCATCTATGGAAAATAATCTTTCTGTTGTTGTTGTTGTTCTGTGCCATCAAGTTAAAACCAACCCATAGTTGACTTTCTAGCAGGTTTCACCAACGATGAATTGTACGGGAAAAGATTGCCTATCTTTATCCCACAGAGCAGCTGGTCAATTCAAATCACATTCCTTTGCTTTGGCAGCTTAAGTCTTGAATAAAAACACACTTGCGTTTGAGTACTACATTTCCACTTAAGATTGGATAATTTTTTAAACCTTTGTAAGCCTAAACTTTCTAGCCTTTAAAACCTTTTTAATCTTCAAAATTCCAGTAGTAATAACATCTAACATGTAACTTCTTCTGAAGACTGCATAAATAAATCCAGTTAAGACACTATGCACAGTACCTGCTCAGTAACTGTAAGCTAGTAGCCTTAGAGTATTATCTAATAGAAGTGGTCTAAAACAGCATGTTGATTGTTGTCGTTGTCATGTGCCACTGAGTCACTATGACCCATAGTGACCCATAGCATACAGCAGCTTTGAAGCCTTTCCTGTCCTGAGCTAGTCTCACTGATGATGACATACCAACTACCATTACCTCAGTTACTGATGAAATTATAATAAAGTGGAATATAAGTTTGAAAAAATAAATCAGAATAATGTGTTTATGACTGGATAAGAAGAAATAAGTTTAAAAGCAAAAGGGAAGACCATGAGGAAATACTCCAAATGTTTGAGTGAGTGTATGTTGTTCAGTGCTCTGTATCAGCTGTGCCGTATATGATAATTGTTACACATGTGGGAGTAAATGGTGACATTTTGTGAATCTGATTTTTAAAATTATACAGAAGACCATACAGTCCTTGTGCGTATGGTCTAGCCCTCTGTCTTCAGTTGAATTTCTTGGAAAAATGTCCATAATTCTTTTCTAAAACAATAATGTCATTATGATTGAGAAAAATAAAGTCCCAACAAAAGTTGGTTCTTTTTCATTTCACTTCTTTCTAGTTTCAGTTCCCTCTTTTTAGATAAGAATTTGAAAGTTAAAAACTGTGAGGGAGGTAGAGCATTATGTTCATGGAAAATTCAGCAGCACTTTCCTTTGTTCTGCCTCATCTGAGTAACCACAAGAGTGGTTGAATGGACCCTGTGAAGACAACTGCCTCTCAGAAACACTATATAAGAATCTCTATATAAAAGGACGAGACAATGGTTTGCTTTATTTGCACCAGAGACCCTAATATTGTGACTCTAACATCATAATGCTGTAGATTGTTCTTATTAGAAGAGAATAGAGAAGGCACACAACTTTAGAATCTAAGCAGATACCATGTCAAACCATTAAATTCATCCAGACCTATGTTGCCCCTCTGTTGGGTTTCCAAGGCTGTAAATCTATGAGAGAAGACTGCTTATCATTCTCCCTTGGAACATCTGTTGGATTCAAACCACTAATCTTTCAATTAGAAGCCCAACACAAAATGCCTACTCTGCACTGGCTTCTTTTAAATCCGTAGGTATACTTATTTTTGTCCTGTTTACAATTATCACTGCTTTCATTAGGTTTTAAGAGGGACATCCCAAAAAGGGGGGGGGGAAGACATAGCAACAGTCTTTAAAGCTACAAATTTCTTAAAAGAACAGTTAAAGCACACAAATAAGAAAATGAAATAATATATTAAAACTTTAGTATTGTTTGGTACTATGAAGTAATATTGTCATTGCTGTCAAGTTGGAACCAACTCATAGCTGGCCCTCCAGTGGGTTTTCAGAAGCTGTAAATCATCCAGGAGAAGATTCTTCATTTTTCTTCCTCAGAGCAGCTAGTGGATTCGAACCACTTTCCTTTGACTTGGCAGTGTTACTCTTTACCCACTAGATCACCAGAGTTCCTAAATTAATATTAGCCAATATTTATTTCCTTTATTTTAAACTGTTATTATTTTTATCATTAGCCGCTATTACGTCAGTTCTTTTAAGCCATATGAAGAAATGCCGTTGATGCTGTGGTTAAAGTATTCAGCTGCTAACCAAAAAGACAGCAGTTTAAAACCCACCACCTACTCAGTGGGAGAAAAAGGTGATGTTCTGCTTATAACTTATGACCCCGAAGCCCTATGAGGCGGTTCTACTCTGTATTACCACCTTGCAGAGACAGAGTGGACTGGATGACAGTAGACTTTACTTACAGGCATTTTTCTAAGTGCTTTCCACATATTGTCTCAAATGATCTTCAAAACAAACCTGTGAGGAAGATACCATCACTATTCCTATGATGCTGGGGAGGCAGTTGAGCCCAGAAAGGTTAGTGCATCAGTGACAGAGCTAGCATTTAAACCAAATTTCTGATGAAACTGTTTTGGTTATGGCAACCTTCTTCATATGTGCTTTAGCACAAAGACTTGTGAGATATGAACAAACTGTTGGTGTTTGTTTTATACCTCAGTGCAGGAAGGTTGAGCCTTGACAAAGCCCTGGACCTGACTCGCTATCTCCCCCATGAAACAAGCAGCCCTGCGATTCTCAAAGGCCTGAGACACTTAGAATTGTTCTATTACATGATGGAGAGAGGGAATATCTCAGATGTCACTGAAAACCTCAAGGTGGGTGTCTCTTTCAAATATTCGTCAAGTTATTTCCCAGGGTCTAGAGGATCAGTGAGGTTCTGAGTGTGTTGTGTGAACTCCTTGGTGTTATATCATGGAGAAGCTGAGGAGATGGGCTGATAGCATCGTCAATAGCACAGCACCTACCTACCTGAAGGGTTTAGTTACCCTCATGCCTTGCTAATGCTATCCTAAGGGAAAAGTACCAGGATCGTAAATGGAAGATTCCTCTTAAAGTTGAGTTTATCGTATGTCACTTCGGTGTTCTTCTCACAGACAAGAAATCATATTTTTAATGTAAGCATTCTTTCTTGGGTATTGTGAGCAGAAACAAGAAAAAGAGGGCAGAGAAAGGAAAATTAGTATTTCTGTGTTTGGTCAAGGTTCATGCAAATGGTTTAGATTTGAGTCCGTTAAGTTGGTGAGTAAGAACTGTGTTAATAACTAAATTTAGCCTCTCTGTAAAATGTCTCATGTTCTCTGCAGAGGTACCTTCTCCGGTATTTTAAGCCAATGATTGACAAGCAAAGCTGGAGTGACGAGGGCTCGATCTGGGACAGGCTGCTTCGCTCAGCTCTCTTGAAGTTGGCCTGCGACCTAAACCATCCTCCTTGCATCCAAAAGGCAAAGGAACTCTTTTCTCAGTGGATGGAATCCAGTGGAAAATTAAAGTATATCTAGACTTCTTTTCTTTTCTTTATTCATGTCATTTTGATGTAAAAGTCTTTGATTACATAGCCATTAGATCTGAAACCTACAGATGATATATTTTTAAAAATACTGGGAATGATAACTCTTGTTTTAAACTTGATTCAAAGAAGAATCAGACATGAAATTAGATATAATTAAATCACCAGTGATTTGCTTTTGAAACTTTAAAGAGCTAGTTAAGGGAATGTGTATGTTTCTTCAGTGACCAATATATGGGCCACATCTTGGCCCTGGTTTGTTATCTGCCTTGACCTTCCATGGAAAATTGATGACTTCACCATCTAAAATTTGTGCATGATGGCAAAAATGGCTTATAGTTGTTGTTAGAGTCTGGAAGGTTTCCAGGGATCAAATGGATTATGCTGAAGTTCAGTTTAACAGCTGCTACCCATAGGAGCTAACAGACTGCTCTGCTATTTCCATTTCTGCATTGATATCTGTCCAAAACCTATTATAATTATTATTAATGTCTTAGAAAATTAGTTTTATATGTGAATTAAGGAAAATTCATTTTCAAGTTGGAAGGGGGAAAGTTCACATTATGCCAAATAGTGTAATGTTGTGGTTTTACTCTTCAGCCTATTTACTATGTCAAACTATCATAATGTCCCTTGCCCCTAAAATAGAATCTTGGGTGCATTTTTAAATCCTTTTATGAATTCTTAATTTTAAAAAGTAACTCAAAGTTTCTTCACTTTAAACTTTCCTGCTCTTTGTGATGTATGCTTAACATAGGGGTTTTCTTTGGGGGGGGGGGCTTCAGTTATATTAGTCTTTTATCTTTGTTCATATTTGAAGGGGTTCTGTAATACTATAGAATGCTATTATTATGTCTTCATGCTTTTATAAGGGATGCTGTAACCCATCTGCAGTAGATATGAGGGTTCAACATGTTGAAGAAGATGCTTTCCCTATGAAAGTGCTCTGGGTAAAACTCATTCATGCTTGGAATCAAGAATAGCTAATTAAATATTAAATTCTGTTAATTCAAAATTATAGTATGCAAAACATTTTTTTCCTCTCCTAGAACTTTCCCCTTAACTTTTATGCTTCTATTACAGCATCCCAGCAGATGTTCTAAAGATTGTGTATTCTGTGGGTGCTCGGACAGCAGAAGGATGGAATTTCCTCTTAGAGCAATATAGACTGTCGATGTCAGGAGCTGAAAAAAACAAAATTCTGTATGCATTGTCGACCAGCAAACATCAGGAAAAGTTAGTGAAGTACGTGCATTAATTTAATTAAATGGTTAAATGTAAACCATGTTAACTAAATGGTTAAACGTAACCTTCACAAATTTAAAGGCATAAAATCATTGACTCTGGATTTGTATTGCTTTGACTTTATTTCTGAAGGGAGAAATATACTGACAAAGTGCAAATAATGAAAACAGATATTCCCTTGTTAATCATGTGATTGACACTAGACAAATGGATATTTTTGCTTTTAAAACTTTGGAGAGAAATTGCTTTTAAGTTATGTTCTTGAGTATAACTGAATATAAACTGCTAAAGTGCTTTGAAATCTTAAGTAAATAAAGCTACTTACTGCTGGAAAAAAGAAAAGCATAATTGGAACATTAAAATTTTAACCAGTAGAAAATTTACTACTGTTTTGGGTAAATTATAATTTTACTATCTCTGTTTCTGTCCTATTTTAATATATTGGTATCCTGATTTCATTTCTGTGTATGCAACACAGATCAGGGAAAAATCAACTGGTTTTTGTTTCTTCAGGTTGTTAGAACTAGGAATGGAAGGAAAGGTTATCAAGACCCAGGATTTTGCAACTCTTCTCCACATGATTGCCTGGAATCCAAAGGGGCAGCCACTGGCCTGGAATTTTGTAAGAGAAAATTGGACCCATCTCCTCAAAAAGTTGGTATTTATTTATGTCCGATATTATCTCTCAGAGCAAGCTTAAATTATAACTGTTGTTGTTCTGTGCCATGAGTTGCTTGGGACTAATAGCGACCTTATGTACAAGAGTCCTAAACACTGCTCTATCCTGTGCCATCCTCATTGTCTCTGACACACCTACCCCATCACTGAATCGATCCATCTCATCGAAGGTCTTCCTTTCCTGCGCAGTCCCTCCACTCTCCTAAACATGATGTCCCTCTCCATGGACTAGTCCCTCCTTACAACATGCCCAAAGTATGTCAGACGATGCTTCAGAATCCTTGCTTCCAAGCAGCAGCCTGGCTTCACCCTCTCTAGGACAAACCTGTTTGTTTTCTGAGCAGTCCGTAGTATATTCAACACTCTTCTCCAGCATGACAGTTCAAAGGAATCAATTCTCTATCATCCGTAGTCACTACCCAGCTCTCTGATGCATAGCATGCAATTGCCAAAACTATAGCCCGGATCTGACACACCTTAGCACCTTAGTCTCCAGCCTGATGTTGTTGCTCTTCAGTAGTCTGGAGAGGTCCCTGACAGCTGACTTTCCCAGTGCAATTCTCCTTTTGGTTTCCTGGCTGCTGGTACCAAGAGTGTTGACTGTAGAGCCAAGAAAACTAAAACTGTTAACTATTTTTTTAAAATTAATAATATGTCGAGAAAACAAAGATTCTCACCACTGGACCAATTGGCAGCATCAGGATGGATGGTGAAGAGATGGAGATTGTTCACAGTTTTAGTTTGCTTGGCTCCACAGTCAACACTCTTGGCACCAATAGCCAGGAAATTAAAAGACGTATTGCGATGGGAAAGTCTGCTGTTAGGCACCTCTCCAAAGTTCTGAAGAGCAGGTGTCTCTCTGGAGACTAAGGTGCATCTGATACAGGCCATGGTCTTTGCAATCACTTGTTATGCATCAGAGAGTTGGGCAATGACTAGGGAGGATAGAAGGAGAATTGATGCCTTTGAACTGTGGTGCTGGAGAAGAGTATTGAGGGTACCATGGACTGCTAAGAAAACAGATTCATCCTGGAGAGGGTTAAGCCAGGTGGCTCCTTGGAGGCAATGATTCTGAGGCTTCGTCTAACATACTTTGGATATGTTGTAAGGAGAACATACTTTGGATATGTTGTAAGGAGGGACTGGTCCTTGGAGAGGGACATCATGCTTGGTAGGGTGGAGGGACAGCGCAGGAGGGGAAGACCTTTATGAGGTGGATTGATTCAGTGACTGGGCTAATCGGGATGGGTGTATCGGAGCTGGTGCGATTGGCACAGGACAGAGCAGTTTAGGGCTGTTGTACCTAGGGTTGCTTTGAGTCGCAAGTGACTCGACGGCACATAACAACAAAAATAATGTTTAAAAAATTTTAGAAAACCATAAACTAAACATAAAATATTAGTCCATAGTTTAAAGAGTATATATCTCTCAGAAAAGATTTTTCAGCATTTATTTTTTAATTAATGAATCAGTGTTAGAAGTGATGTTTCCTTACCCCATTGCTGGCCACATGTTCTTTGTGTTGTCCCCTTTAAATGGTCTGACTCATGTTTGTGCCCATCCAGAGAGAAGATATGTGGGTCAAGTTGTATAGGGCTTAAAGATCATAAAATCTGGGAATCTTTTTCAGGATATGTAATACAAAACATTTTGCTTTTACAAAATTTATAAATATATAGGGCTGCCTGAACAAATTGGAAGCTGCTGTGCCAGGAAACACATTTGCTTAGAGTATGTTAATTATCATCTAGTAGGGAGCTCTGGGGCTTAGCCCACAGAGAGCTGTGCTGCTGACCCAAACCTGAGCCTCTCTGGCAGTTTGAACCCACCAGCTGCTCTGTGAGCAATTTCTTCCCATGCAGTTTACAGCCGTGGAAACCAAGTGAGGGTCAGCTATGAGTCCAAATATCAATTAGCTGACTGGAGTTTTTTAAATTAGTATGAAATATTTTTAAAATGTTATAAAATCATATATGAGTTAGACTTTTTCAACAAATCTTAAAAGTGTTGGAATCCAAAAAAAAGTAAAAAAAAAAAAAGTGTCGGAATCCAATTTTTTTTATTGCGACTTTAGTGAAAGTTTACAAAAGTGCTAATGATTTGACAATTGTACAAACCAGAATCTCAAGTTTCTAGACCACCCTAGAAACTTTAAATAAAGCTTACTCCAAATCTCTTATTTCAGTTTACATCTACAGCTATATTTTCCTTTTCCAGTGTTTTAGGGGAGAGTAACACAAATGATTAAATGTCTCCTTTTCTCATAATTCCTTTCACAATAGAAAATCATGAGTATAAACGCTAAGAAAGGGTAAAGCATTCTATTTCTTTTTTTAATAAGATTTTGGTCCTTCCTTCAATGAGTGATATTGTGAACAATGTACAATTATTTGCCTTTCAAATGTGTGTTCTTCATTTTTACCCAAATAGATCAATGAAATTTATTGAGGTTTTTGTTCTTTTATTCATTTATTTGAGTGAGAGTCTACAAATCATATTGATTTTTCATACAACCATTCATAGACAATTTATTCTATAACATTAATTACTAGTGAAATCTACTGGTTTTTAAAGTCACTAGCCCAATTTGAACATGCTGCAAGGTGGGACCAGTCCTTGGAGAGGGATGTCATTCTTGGAAGGGTGGAGGGACAACGCAGGAGAGGAAAACCATCGAGATGGACTGATTCAGTGACTGGGGTAATGAGGTTAGGTATGTCAGAGATAAGATTGGCACAGGATAAAGCACAGTTCAGGGCTATTGTACACAGGGTCACTATGAGTTGGAGGGGACTCGATGGCACTTAACAACACCACCAGCCCAATTTACCCTGTCCATGTGTAAGAGAGAAGTGAGGAGATGGGAAAGGCAAGTAAATTTCTCTCACTCAGCCCTGACAAAGGAGAATTGTTACCAGGTCCTGTAACATCTGCTCTGCTGCATGATGGCCCATATGGAACAGCATAACAAACCCCTGACGAATCTGCACCATCTTCACAACCTCTGCCGTGCTTACTCCCGTTGCTGGGGCCACTGTGTCCATTCATCTCATCAAGGGTCTTTGCTGGGGCTAAAATAAGTTGAGTAAATGCAGTTGTCAGCCTCTATCCCCACCATTCCCTCCTGACTCATTCCTTAGCTCAGAAGGACCCCTGAAATCTTATACAGGGCAGCAAATGCATTTGGCCTGGTTTGTTAATGCAGTTTTGTTCTGAGGGGGAAACTTCAGGAATTTGGATAAGGGCAAATCTTCTATACCTTCCTCCACCTTCCCTCTCCAGTTCCTCTGTGGAAGTCGTGCAGTGGAAGCCTCTGAGTAACTGGCATAAAACTAATCCAAAGAATTTCTTGTCCCTTTGATTCTGAGTCTTTTCTATGGTGTCAATGTTTAAAAGAACTGAAGTTCAGCCCAGTATCCTTCTTAGTCTGTAATACCCTCCAGAAAGCTAAAAAAAAAAAAAAAAAAATCATTGGTAGATACAGGATGGGATTGCTGTCTCACTAGGAATCCCTGGTGCTTAGGAATTTCGCATCCAAGTAAAAAAAAAATGTCACTTATGGCCTACATGGATGGATGGAAGCATGATTCAGAAAGCTGTTTGCTTTATCTTAATGCCAATTAGCATTGCTGAGGTTATTAATTCCTACTTCCCCTCTCATTTCTTAGTGCCATAGAGAAGTCAGAGTTCTCACAGTCAACTTTGTGTCAGTAAAAAAACATACTTCAAGTCCTCTCCTACGTCTGCAAGGAGTTTAGATCCATGTGCAAGTAAACAGAAATTGTTTGCATTTAAAATTATGTTTCCTTAATATGACCCTATTGGAACCACTGATGAAACTATTTGCACAACTGTCATTTCCCTCGTGAAATGACCAGATGTTTTCTGTAATGCTATAGAGTTCTTTTACAACTATAAGCTGTACTCTACCCACCAAATATAGGAGATTCGACTCAGAACCATCTCCTGAAATGCATCTCTATATACTTGTGTAATGGAATATGTTTACACACACACAATCTCAGGCTGAGAGATGCTGCCTGGGACCATGAAGGAAAGTTAAAAAAAAAAATTAACATTGTGCTACTCAACATAATGTCTAAGCACAGCAATGTCCAAATGGGATGAGGAAATGTGCCTTAGCGTGAAAGAAAAATATTATTACTATGTATAACATTTTTTTGTTGCATAGTGGCATGATGGCAGTATCTGACCTCTTTTAACTTCATGGTCAGGGTAGAATTATCATATGTATCAACAACCAAGACCAGTTTCTGTAAGATCAGACATGTTTCCACCTTTTAATATGTTGTTGTTGTTATGTGCCGTCCAGTCATTTACGACTCATAGCGACCCTATGTACAACAGCCCTAAACCCTGCTCTATCCTGTGCCAATCGCACTGCCTCTGACACACGCATCCCAATTACCCCAGCCACTGAATCAATCCATCTCATAGAGGGTCTTCCCCTCTTGCGCCGACCCTCCACCCTCCCAAGCATGATGTCCCTCTCCAAGGACCTGTCCCTCCTTGCAACATGTCCAAAGTATGTCAGACGAAGCCCCAGAATCCTTGCCTCCAAGGAGTAGCTTGGTTTAACCCTCTCCAGGACGAATCTGTTTGTTTTCTTGGCAGTCCATGGTACATTATATTTTATGAATTCTGACACCAAATGTCCCTCTGCTGTACTTGATAACTCATTGCAATGACCACACAGAACTCACAGATTGTATGCAGTTGTGAAGTTTATTAGGAAAGTAGCAAAGATGTTGAAACTTTGTCCCCATACTTTGAGGATGTTGTTAGGAGAAGCCAGTTCTTAGAAAAAGATATCATGATGCAGAAAGCAGAGGGTCTGTGAAGAAGATCCTTAACAAGATAAATTGACACAATGACTGCCACCAATGAACTTGAGCATGGTGGAGATTGTATAATGATGGTGAAATGTAGGGCAAGATTCTGATATGTTGTTCATAGGGTTACTATCAGTTGTTGATTGAAAGTAGTTAACAACAACAGGCTGTAATTTAGAGTCAAGAATACTCAAGATACAGTCCTTTGATCAGGAAAGCCTCTTCTCAGCCAATCCTGAAGGCAAGCCCTTCACAGGCCCCAGACTTCAGAGCCTCTTGGCCTGTGCCCTGTTTGGGAAGAGTTGTAATGGCTTCTATCTATTTAATTTATTTGTCAGTAAACACCCTGTCCAAAAGCACTCAGAAAGACTACTGCTCTTTCTCACACTGGCCTCCTGGATCTGCTGTCTCTCTCCATTGCTGTCATTATTCTGTATGCCCTTCTCACTAGCTCTCCAGCATTACAGACTACTGTTTCCTTGGTCAAGGAGTTTCATTTCTGGTCCAGAGGATGTGCTTTAATCCTTGTTCTTCTTTCTTAATAACCATGAGATTGCCTCTTCTGTTCCTCTAAGCTGGCTCATTTTAAACCTAGCAGGATGCTAAAACTGACAAATCTCCATGCCCTTGTTTGCTTGGTTCCACCCGAGGGAACCATGTAACCTATTTATGGTAATAGCAAGCTAGTCAGACTTTTTGGTGGTTCACAAATACTTCATATTTGCTCACCAGTCAAGTGGTGAGAGTTACAGAGACTATGGTTAGAACCGTATTTAAGTAATTCAGGATTCTACATTTATCTTGAGCATTTAAATTGTGTATTACTTATTATAAATGTATAAGTATAAATCAATGATAACTTAGAGTAATTAAATATATTGTCCATATTGTTTTTATCTTATGTCTTAAAAACTTCTATAGCTCGAACACATTAATTATACCATTTTCAGGTAAAGGAATATGTATCAGAGAGCTCTTCCCAAAAAATCTTTCCTAATAGAGATTATAATTGAAGCAGATTAGGAAGATCTGCTTTAAACAACTGAACAAACCAACTATATGCCCTCCAAATATTTATCTACATTTTTCTTTTCGTAAAAATTTAACAAATGTCATATTTTGTAGTTATAGGGAATAGACAATAGTATTTTTATAGTATACAAGTTTACTATATAATTTCTAGACTTATACATTTATAATTTAATACATAAAATAATAAGAATAAGTCAGTATATTTATTTCTTAAATTTATAGCTCTCTTTTTTAATTTTCAGATTTGACTTGGGTTCATTTGCCATAAGAATGATTCTCTCTGGCACAACATCTTATTTTTCTTCCAAAGAAAAGTTACAAGAGGTAATTTTAAGTAATGTGAATAAGATCTGATTTGAAGTTATTGGTTTGTTAACGAAAAAAAAAAAAAGTGGCTTCGCCACTGTTACATAGCAAATAAGTGACAGGAACAAGATTAAAGCCTGATTCTTAAAATATACAGGCTCATAGAATTCAAAATGAAAATTAATTTAAGAGATGATAATCCTTTTCTATTTATCATTAATATTTTGTGATGAAGAATAATCAAATAGAAATTTGGAACCATACATAATTTTATTAAGACTGCTATTGTAGGGAGCTATAGTTGTCTGCTTTTCTTGGTTTCTTGGCTTTCTAGTGTCTTATGGAGCCCTGGTGGTTTTGTGGTATGGAATTTTGCTGTCAACCTAGAGATAAATAGTTCAAATCCACAAGCTTCTCTGAACAATTTCTTGTGCTCTTGACAGCCTCAGAAATCTTAGTGAAGGGTCACCTATGAGCTGATTCCAGCTTGAAGGCAATGAGTTTTAAGTGGAGGGGGAGCTTTTTTTGTTTTATATTTCAGTGTTTTACATCTTCTAAAATAAATCATTTGTCATAATGAAAGGACAACTTCATTTATCCTTTAAACAAATTTAGAATTCTGAGAGTCACATTCTAGCTCACTGCTTACTCTGATCTGAGTAAATCACTTAATGTTTCTGCACTTTGTGTGCTCGCCTATAAAATGGGACTTTATAGTCCCTGTCTTTACTATTTGATGATGAGTGAGATAATCGTTATGAACAAGGAGAGAAGTATTTCAGAGCTTGCCAGAGAAATGCTTGCACCTGTGTGTGTAATTTGCAAGCTGTTTCAAACCCCTTTGGAAAACAAGATGTTTTCTGAACCATGACAGTAATTCTTTTTAAATTTTATTTTTTTGTATTTTTCAGGTGAAACTTTTCTTTGACTCTCTTAAGGACCATGGATCACACCTGGATGTTTTTCAAATTGTTCTGGAAACCATAAGCAATAATATTAAATGGCTAGAGAAGAATCTTAACAGTCTGAGATCTTGGCTACTGGTTAATATATAAATGGACACTATGAGTGCATCACACACAGTCGATATCTATATTAAGACAAACGGAAAAAGTATCACCAGCAAACCTCTAGTCTGCATTCTGAGTATATTCTCTAACCAGAAAGAAATCTGGAGAAATTAACCAGTATAGCTGCCTTGTTGTTTTATTGACTATCGAGTTGACTACCACTCATAGGGACTCTATGGGTAACAAATGGAAATCTTACCGTCCTTCACCACCATCCTCACAATCGCCCTTACGCTCAAGCGCATTGTTGAAATCATTGGTCATCAATAAATTGCTGAAGTTATCTTTTTCTGACTTTTGATGTCTTTTTCCAAGGACTTCCACAATATGTGATAGATTCTCCATCCTTGCCTCTAATGTTGCCCTAGTTGCGCTTCTCCAAGTACAGCTGCCTGTTCTCATCTGTGTCTCCAGTTTGACAGATAGAAGCTAAGTGTCGGGGAAGAACAATTCAGTAAACTATGATGATTTAAAAGTAAAACCCCTAAAAAAGTGAATATATACATCCATACACACACGCATGCACAAACACAGAGTTTAGCCTCAACACAAGTGTTTACCATTGTTTTGCATTGTGCTATTATTTTTTTCCACTTATTTTAATTTTGTTACTGTTGTTGTGTGCCATGGAGTCAGAACTGACACATAGCTGGGGGTTTTCAGAGGCAGTTAATCATATGGAAGGAAATTCCCCATCCTTATTCTCACCAAAATGAAATGGTCAATTTAAAAAAAAAGAAAAAACAACAACAACAACAAAATAAAAAACCAACCCGTCTGTCTCATCACTTTTATCAACCTTCAACTAACTAATTAATTGAATTAAGTATTTTCTTGTTATGCCACTTATAGATAATCTGATGCAAATTATGGAGAGAGGATCACAAACTAGAGATTTTATCACCATGTCTGATTATACTCAATTCAATGACCTTTTAGCTTGAGCCTTCCATCCATGTAGATCGTCAAGTTCAGATGTTTGGATTTGATGCCAAATGAAGTTTAATTTGCAACTCCCTACATGACGTTAGCTCAGGCACTATTACCTGTTGTAATATTTTAAGTTTCACAAGTAGATTGCATCATAGATTTGCTGTTAAATCTTGGTTTAATGTAAATGCTTTTTATGTCGCTGTATTTTGTAACCCAGGTTTAAATCTCTCCATATTTTAACACCCAAGAACTATCTTTATATTTGAAATTCCCTGTTGGATGCTTCTCTTTATTATTTGAAAAGGTCATTTGGAACAAATAAAGAAAACACTTTCTAATAGTAAATGTGACAAGCGCATAATCCCACATATGGATCAGTATGTGTATAAGTAAGTTTTAGAAACATACAACAGTTGAGTCGATACAGGTTGTTAAGGGAAGCTGGAGATGTTGAGGTATGTATAAGGGAGGTAGAGTGACTATTGTTGTTGTTGTCATTGTCGTCACTGAGTGCCATCGAGTCAAGTACAACTCATAGTGACCCTATGAATAAAAGACCTGAACCTCACACTTCCTGACACACAAGAGCCCATTGCAGCAGTCACTTTGTCAGTCTACCTGGTTCCTCAAACTTCTTCATCCTCTTCGTCTCAGACCCTCCACCATTCGCAATATTATGTCCCTCTCCAAAGAATAGTACCTCCTAGCAATATATCCAAAGTATATGAGGTGAAGCCTCATCATTCTTGCCTCCAGAGAGCACTTCAGCTGCACCCTCTCCAAGACATATCTAGTAATTTTCTTGGCCATCCATGGGATGGATGTTCAGTGCTCTTCTCCAACACCACAGTTCAAAGGCATCAATTCTTTTTCTTTCATCTTATTCATTGTCCAAATTTCAGATGCATAGCTAGTAATTGGAAAGACCATAGTCTGAATCAGACTCACCTTAGTCCACAAACTGACATCACTATTCTCAATAATTTAGAAAGGTCCCTAACTGCAGATTTTCCTAGTGCAATGTGTCTCCTTATTTCCTGACTGCTCATACCAAGGGGGTCAATTGTGGATCCAAGCAAGATGAACTAGCCAATACATTTTTTGAATGATATCATGAAAATTATTTATGGCTTCTATAGACTTTTCTTTGCTTCCATAACTATAAACAGAAAACAGTTTACATGAGCCGTAGATATGACTAATATTTTAATTTTGTTTTCAAATCATTTTTCACCATAATTTGACCAATAATAATGGACCTTGTTGTTGTTATGTGCCGTCGAGTCGTTTGCGACTCATAGCGACCCTATGCACAACAGCACTAAACCCTGCTCTATCCTGCACCAACCGCACTGCCTCCGACACACCCATCCCGATTACCCCAGTCACCGAATCAATCTACCTCATAGAGGGTCTTCCCCTCCTGTGCTGTCCCTCCACCTTCCAAAGCATGATGTACCTCTCCAAGGACCCGTCCCTCCTGGCAACATGTCCAAAGTATGTCAGACGAAGCCCCAGAATCCTTGCTTCCAAGGAATAGCCTGGTTTAATCCTCTCCAAGATAAATCTGTTTGTTTTCCTGGCAGTCCATGGTACATTCAGTACTCTTCTCCAGCACCACAGCTCAAAGGCATCAACTCTCCTTCTGTCCTCCCTAGTCATTGTCCAACTCTCTGATGCATAACAAGTGATTGCAAAGACCATGGCCTGTATCAGATGCACCTTAGTCTCCAGAGAGACACCTGCTCTTCAGAACTTTGGAGAGGTGCCTAACAGCAGACTTGCCCATTGTGATATGCTTTTTGATTTCCTGACTGCTGGTGCCAAGAGTGTTGACGGTGGAGCCAAGCAAACTGAAGCTGTGAACAATCTCAATCTCTTCACCATCCATCCTGATGCTGCCAATTGGGCCAGTGGTGAGAATCTTTGTCTTCTTGACATTGAGCCTCAGTGCATACTGAAGGCTGCAGTCCTTGACCCTTCGCAGCAAGTGCATGAGGTCCTCCTCAGTTTCAGCAAGCAGGGTTGTATTATCTGCATAACGCAGATTGTTAATAGATCTTCCACCAATCCTGATGCCACAATTCTCCTCATAGAGCCCAGCCTCCCGGATAATCTGCTCTGCATACATGTTGAAAAGGTATGGAGACAGGATGCGTCCCTGGCGTACACCCTTCCCAATTTTGAACCATGCAGTGTTACCCTGCTCTGTCCTGACTACTGCCTCTCGGTCCAAGTATAGGTTTCGCATTAGCACAATTAAATGTTCTGGGATTTCCATTCTTCTCAGAGTCAGCCACAGTTTGTTATGATCCACACAGTCAAATGCCTTTGCATAATCAATGAAACACAGATAGACATTCTTTTGGTATTCCTTGCTTTCAGGCAAGATCCATCTAACATCAGCAACAATATCCCTAGTACCACGACCCCTTCTAAACCCAGCCTGGACTTCCAGCAATTCTCTGCTGATGTGCTGTTCTAATAGTTTTTGGATAATCTTCAGTAGAATCTTGCTTGCATGTGAAATCAATGACACTGTTCTGTAGTTTCTACACTCAGTTGGGTCACCCTTCTTTGGAATGGGAACAAATATAGATCTCTTCCAGTCAGTTGGCCAAGTGGTTAGACCTTAGTCTTTATAATGTCTTAGTGTGGTTCAGATGTTATGGTTCCATCTGGAATTATATGTATTTTACCATAAAAAAGGAAAATGACAAAGAATACTGGTTTTCCCCCCACCAGTGTTATATGTAAATTGAGGAAGCTCTGGTGGCTCAGTGATAAGGAGTTGTACTGCCATTCCAAAGGCTCACGCTTCAAAGCCAACAGCTGTACCTTGAAAGAAAGATGCATGGAGAGACTGCCGACCACCAACACCAGTTCAAGTTTGAGGATTGATGATAATGACAACTCAGATTTAGCTAAAATTAGTTTTACTTTCTTTTACCCTAGATAACCACATAACTTATGAAAAAATGAAATGCAAGATTATGAAACCATGTTGACATGAACAAATACAATGTTTCAGTGCTCCCTCTTGTTCCACAGAGAGGCACACAGAGAATTTTGTGGTCTCAGTAATCAGACAGAAAGAGAAATTTTCTGTATCATTGAAACCCAGAACCAGCCACTTGCTATGCTCTAGCTTTGAGTGGGCACTTCAGCCCTCAAGAATACAACTTCCTGTAGTAGAGACTTTCTCCCCACCTCAACTACATTCTTTTGTATTTCATCTCTTACTGTACCCTTTGGGTCTACTTGAACATACAGAGAAGTAAATGTGGCCGGGACTGCTATATACGAGATCTTGATTTTCTGAGGAAAGCGTCTGAATGTTGGGATTTTTGTGGTTTTACTTTCTCCGCTAACACCGTTTGTTTTTAATATTCTCTGAAACTATAATGAATCTTCCAAATGGTTTTAAGTGTTTTCCACTTAAACACTAATGGCAAGCACAAGACTGATAAAAATGGTCACATTTTTATTTATACACATTTTTGTCCTTTTCATATTTTCCCTGTCATGATTAAAATATCTAGAAATCTGTTTCAAATAAACATGAGTTTATTATGATAAAAGAGTGTTTTGCAAAATCAGGAAATATGTAGTTGAGAAGTTCTTTATGAAGCTCTCCAAGGGGCTGAAGAATTACAGAAATTGAGAAAGGCAAAACCCTGAAAGCACAGATTATTCACAAAGTCATAGGTGGCAGAATCTCCACTGGTCACTTTTGCGTAGGTTCTCTTTGAAAAAGGTATTTCGGGTGACAGAACATGACTGACCATAATATCTTGTCACATTATAAGAAGAGTTATTGTTAAGCACACAGTATTGATAAAAAAGGAGTCAGAAAGTCATTTTAGAGGGTTCTAAAAGTGTAGCCAACAGAGTCACATATTTAACACTCAAATACCTATAAAATCTGTACGGTCTTACACTTGACCATTTGTAACTACAACTTTGAAATAAGGAAGTCAAACCACAGTTTTTTGTAAACACTCTTTATATCCGAGTACAGTGGAGAATTTCTTCAGAAGTGACAGTCTGTA